CAATTGTTTCATTACAAAATGGATTCAATTTTCTTCACAACAACCCTTTTGACAAGACCTTCAAGTAGACCAGACATTTTTACCTCATTCATCATCAATTTTTGTCATGATGCTTGTCTATGTAATTGCTTATATGCGTTTGAACATGGGTCATCTCAGATGAAAAACTAGGTCACAGGAGCTAAAAATAGAAAAATCTTGTTAACACTCTAATGGCTACTGTTTTCATCCAAATATCCTGGACTGAAAGTTTGTTTCGATGATTTTTTTATGTCAAATTTGAATATGGGTCACCTGGGGTCAAAAACTAGGTCACACTGCTCAAATATGGAAAATCCTTGTTAACACTCTAGTGGTCACATGTTTGACTCACCTGTCATGAAACTTGGTCAGGATGCTTGTCTAGGTAATTGCTCGGATAAGTTCGAACATGTGTCATCTCAGATGAAATACTAGGTCACAGGAGTTTAATATAATATGGGTTTGATGGGTCAGGTGAGCGATCTAGGGTCATTTTGGCCCTCTTGTTGGCTGTAACTTTGTAAGTAATCAATGGAGTATTTTAAACTTAGACAAAACAACCATTTGGACAAGACATGCTGAAAGATTGAACAGACCTTGACCCTGAGCTTTTAAATCACATTGACTGTCAAGTTCAAATTATTGAATTTTGGTTAAGTTGTCATGAGGGAATGGTTCCCTCTTGCCAGTAACATGGCTCTAAATTTCTATATTACTGCATTTTATTCTATCAAATTGTTATACATGTATCTGTTTTTGTTAAGGGGAACGGTTCCACTTTAGAAAGTTTGTTATAGATAAGTTTTGAAATTTATTTTTTATTTTGAGGAGGGAATGGTTCCCTCTTACTGGTAACCTGGCTCTAAATTTCAAAATTATTGCATTTTATTTTATCAAATTGTTATATCTTTTTTGTTAAGGGGGAACGGTTCCACTTTAGAAAATGTGTCGTAGATAAGTTTTGAAATTTATTTTTTATTTCGATGAGTGAACGGTTCCCTCTTACCATTTACATGGCTCTCAATTTCTAAATTATTGCATTAATTGTTATATCTGTTTTGTTAAGGGGGAACGGTTCCACTCTAGTTCCACTCTAGAAAAAGTGTTACAGATAAGTTTTGATATTTATTTTTTATTTCGATGAGGGAACGGTTCCTCTTACCTGTTATATCTATTTTTGTTAAGGGGGAACGGTTCCACTTTAGAAAATGTGTCGTAGATAAGTTTTTGAAATTTGTCTTTTTATTTCGATGAGTGAACGGTTCCCTCTTACTTGTAACCTTGTTCGTAATTTATAAATTATTGCATTTTATTCTATCAAATTTTATATATTTAAAGGGGGAACGGTTCCACTCTAGAAAATGTGTCATAGATAAGTTTTGAAATTTATTTTTTATTTCAATGAGGGAACGGTTCCCTCTTACCGGTAACATGGCTCTCAATTTCTATATTACTGTATTTCATTCTATTAAATTGTTATACATGTACCAGTTTTGTTAAGGGGGAATGGTTCCACTTTAGAAAATTTGTTATAGATAAGTTTAGAAATTTATTTTTTATTTCAATGAGGGAACGGTTCCCTCTTACCGGTAACATGGCTCTCAATTTCTAAATTATTTCATTTTATTCTATCAAATTGTTATAGGGGGAATGGTTCCACTTTACAAAATGTATCATAGATAAGTTTTGAAATTTATTTTTTATTTCAATGAGAGAACGGTTCCCTCTTACCGGTAACATGGCTCTCAATTTCTATATATATATCTGCATTTCATTCTATCAAATTGTTATACATGTTCCAGTTTTGTTAAGGGGGAACGGTTCCACTTTAGAAAATTTGTTATGGATCAGTTTTGAAATTTATTTTTTATTTTGAGGAGGGAACGGTTCCCTCTTACCATTTACATGGCTCTAAATTTCTAAATTATTGCATTTTATTCTATCAAATTGTTATGTCTATTTTGTTAAGGGGGAATGGTTCCACTTTAGAAAATGTATCATAGATAAGTTTTGAAATTTATTTTTTTATTTTGATGAGGGAACGGTTCCCTCTTACGGGTAACCTTGCTCCAAATTTCTAAATTATTGCATTTTATTCTATCAAATTGTTATATCTGTTTTGTTAAGGGGGAACGGTTCCACTTTAGAAAAAGTGTTACAGATAAGTTTTGAAATTTATTTTTATGCCACCGCAGCATCTGCGATGCGGTGGCATATAGCGATTCACCTGTGTGTATGTGTGTGGTGTGGTGTTGTGTTTTTTTTTTGTTTGTGTTGTTGTGTGTTATATGATTATAATATAGTGGGAACTTAAAAAATTTCTTGTGAAAAACCAAACCAAGTCCAATTTTCAACCAAACTTGGCAGGAATTTGATCCCTTGGGTGAAGGGCTTCCCAAAGTTGTTCAAAGAAAATTTTTCCATGCAGAAATCTGGTTGCCATGGCAAACCAAAAGGAATTATAAAGAATAAAATTTAAAAAAATCTTCTTGTAAAGAAACGCCAAAAGGCCTAGAGTTAGATATTTTGGCATAAGGCAAATTGGCTGGTAGACCTTAACCCAAGATTGTTTCAAATTTATAAGCCCTGGGGTAAAATCCCGGCCTCCGCCCCGGGGTCATTGGGGTTTTCACTATATGTAATATAATAAAAACTTAAAAAAACCCTTTTTGTAAAAAGAACCCATAGGCCTAGAGTTAGATATTTTGCATAAGGCATTGTCTGGTAGACCTCTACCAATATTGTACAAATTATAGCCCTGGGGTCAAAATCAGCCCTGCCCCGGGGGTCATGGATTTTCACTATATGTACATATAGTAAAAATTTAAAATACCTTCTTGTAAAGACCCAAAAGGCCTAGAGCTTAGATATTTTGCATAAGGCATTGTCTGATAGACCTCTACCCAGATTGTTCAAATTATAGCCCTATGGTCAAAATCGGCCCGGCCCCGGGGGTCATTGATTTTCCTCATTTTTACATAGTAAAAACTTATAGTAAAAACTTTAAAAAAAATTCTTCTAGCAATTGACAAATGCTAGAGGTTAGATACTTTGCATGAAACATTGTGAAGTGAACCTCTAGCAAGAATGTTCAAATAATAGCCCTGGGGTCAAAATTGCCCCCGCCCCGGGGTCATTGATTTTCAATATATACATATAGTAAAAAATAAAAAAAAATCTTATTGTCTGAAGGTACAAGGCTTAGAGTTTTAATATTTGTTAAATGATATCATCTATAGGTACTCTACCAAAGTTGTTCAAATTTTGCCTCTAGTGTCAAAATTAAAAGTGAACTTTGATATCAGCTGACCTAGATTTTGACAAAGTGTATTACATGTTGTCCTTTGATGCAGTCATGAAATTTTAGGCTGTGTGAAATATGACCTTCACCACCAAATTCACTAGACTCAAGTGCATTGATATATTCCTACTCTGATCTTTTATTGAGTTAACAATAGATTTAACCACTAATCTGATAATAAGAATTAGATATGCATTATGACAATCTTCATTGTATAGAAACAAAAAAATCTGTTCCTACACTACTATTTAGTGTTGTATTATTGCGGTGGCATAGCATTTTTCTCAAATGCAATCTTGTTTATTTTTATGAGGGAACGGTTCCCTCTTACTGGTAACCTGGCTCTAAATTCCAAATTATTGCATTTTATTCTATCAAATTGTTATATCTATTTTGTTATGGGGGAACGGTTCCACTTTAGAAAATGTGTCGTAGATAAGTTTTGAAAATTGTCTTTTATTTCGATGAGGGAACGGTTCCCTCTTACTTGTAACCTTGCTGGTAATTTCTAAATGATGGCATTTTATTCTATCAAATTGTTATATATATTTTAAGGGGGAACGGTTCCACTCTAGAAAATGTGTCATAGATAAGTTTTGAAATTTATTTTTTATTTCAATGAGGGAACAGTTCCCTCTTACCGGTAACATGGCTTTAAATTTCTATATTACTGCATTTCATTCTATCAAATTGTTATACATGTACCAGTTTTGTTAAGGGGGAACAGTTCCACTTTAAAAAATTTGTTATAGATCAGTTTTGAAATTTTATTTTTTATTTTGAGGAGGGAACGGTTCCCTCTTACCATTTACATGGCTCTAAATTTCTAAATTATTGCATTTTATTCTATCAAATTGTTATATCTATTTTGTTAAGGGGGAACGGTTCCCTTTTAGAAAATATGTTATGATAAGTTTTGAAAATTTACTTTTTATTTCGATGAGGGAATGGTTCCCCCTTAAGCATAATGTATCTCTTATTACTGAAAAATTGCTTTTTATTTATCAAAACATGTTGTATTCTACACATGGCTTTTGTTCTTCGGGGGAACGGTTCCCCCGAAAACATTTGCAAAAGAAACAAAAAATAAAATTTGGATGTTTACTTTAGCTGTTTGTCTTTTACTTTTCACAAAACAATACCATTACTTTAGCTGAAAATAATGTAAAAATAGTGCATTAAAAAGGGGAACGAGTGTATTTCCCCTTTTTAAAATATATCGAGTTAATTAAGAATTCACGAATTGGAAATCGTGGCTGTGAATTCGTGAAATTGGCGAAGTTAAAATATTGAAATCATGGAAATGAAATCGTGAAGTTTAATCGTCATGAATTTGTGAAGTTGAAATCGTGAATTTATGAATTTGAAATCGTAAAATAGTGACGATGAACACGAGAGTTCAAGAAGTTAAAATGTTATAAAATTCCGATGCATTTCTATCATTTCTGTTACAAACCTAGTGTTTGAAAGAACGTAAACTCATGCCATACTATATACACATTATAAATGTCATGAAGGTCAAATGAAAATTTGACATGGATTAATTTCTGAAACCGTTGCTACATGTGCGCAATTTGCATTATATGCCTAAAGATATTATAATATCAAGTAAAGTGTACAGAATTGAGAAATATTACTTGAAAAATACAGCATTAAACAAGTGTCCCTTAAGATTCACCTGAAGTAGAATTGCTGTTTCTGATCAGTTCTTCGTATATGTGCTAATGTAAATTCGCATTCTGATATGTCTGGTGGGTTGTTTCCTCTTGAAACTGCAATAATGTACAATATACAACCATTAGTGTAAAATAGAAAACAATTATTATAACTGTCTCATGCAACATTTTACGATTAGAATATATTTTCTTTTTCTTTTACTTTTACTTTTCGTTCATTAAATAGAATGTAAAGTAGCAGTGAATCATTATCGGGTATCAATTATTTACTTGTGTTGAATTATGTACAGAAACTTTATCGATATCAAATTGTCTACATAAGTTGTCTTTTAACTAGCTTTGTAAATGCCTTCAAAATGTGAAATTAAATACAAAAGGTACTCACATGAAAGGCATCCATTAGTGCTATCGGTAAAACCGTTATAACATGAACATGTATGTGGAAAACTGCATGTACCAGGATAACATGGAGCAATGTGGGAGCACACATCTGTAACAATATACAGATACGTACATTATAAATCATACGTCATCTGGTTTATTGACGATATATAAGACGTCATATGACGTGTAAGAATCCGTTTGTTTTTGTTGTTGTTGTTTTCTGTAAATCAAATAATCCTTAGATTATAAACCTATGTAAATTTGTTGTAGGTACATTGAAAAGACAAATGAATAAAATTTTGTCTTACCTGTAGAACACTGTTGACCTAGAGATGATGCCGGACATTTGCACTTGTTGGGCCCGATGCACCTTCCACCATTCACGCACTGATTATTGCATATTGCTAGAAAAAAGTAGATTTTATTTGCATTTTTACTCTTATATAAAGTACCGCATTTCATGGATGTTTTGTTGGCATCGTCATCGTTGTAAAGTGTTTCTAAATAATTCGTTATCTTGTACCTCGTAAAATATATCTACCCGCTTTGTGTATTACATCTTTCCAATGATTAAAGTACTACACAGTATGTTAAAATGAATTAACCGCTAAATACTTAAAATATATGTTCGTATACAAACGTGCTTAAATAAGCTTCATTGTTGTACCGTGAGGTTTACATGTACGTGTAGCGCACGATATAAGACTATAACACAAATGAATAAGTAAAATTTTGTGTCAAGACACTTTTAATTCACATGGTGACATGGTCTTAAGAAAGAAAAGAAAACCAAGTTGTGGTATGTGTCTTTGATCATGAAGAAGTATATATGGAACGAAACCGAACATAGTTTTATAATAGGCGCAGTCAGATTTGCTGAAATTCAAGCTACTAAAAGATCATTAAGAAGTAATTTGAAAATAAGGATGACCTGACTTGACCGTGAAAGACGACAACATTGTTATCTATTAATTTAAGGAAAGCGAATATACTTACGAACCGAACAACTTGTGCCACGCCATCCAGGACAACATACTTGCGTCAGCACTGTGTACGGCCTGTATGTGGTACACCTACTCCAACCCCTCAAATATTAAACCAAGCTTTATAAAGTTGTGTTCTAATTTCGTCCATTTTTAGTATGACGATGAAGTAGTCTATAACTTCTAAACGGTTAGTCAATGTTAAGTTTGTAAAAGAACAGGACCAGGGCTGAGGCATTTCAAGTTAGTGAATATCAATCGAGTTTATGACTGAATATTACAACAAATATATGCGACCATAACTGATTGTATCTGTCTATACATTAAGAGATATATTTTGAATCCGTAATACTATATGCAGGTAATATCACAACGCTTTTTTGACCATCTACAAAATCAAATTTAAAGCTGAATTACCACTTACCACAAACCACAATCTTTGTACGTCCTTGCATATGTTGTTTGTAATAAGGTACAGTATCCGCTGAAATATTATAAATATTAGGATTCTTTCGCCTTAAAGACACATTAAAAGTACTATAGTTATCTTAAGCAATGGTTCGTGCTCTGCAGGAAAAAGGTGACTTTTTATATGCCTAGGTTTTTGTGGTACACCAAGAGAATGACTAAAGTGTGATTAAGATGTAATTTCAAATCTTCATAATCAAACTGAATGAATATCGCATAGCATTGTATGCGAAATTATTTGATGTAAATGTTTGTTTATAATTGTCTAAAAATGCAATGAATATCAATGTTTCGCAGCAATAACTGGTTTAGAATCGACTTAATTATGAAAGCCATGCAATTTTATGATTTAAGATTTTTTCACGCTAAAAGCGTATGGTATGTATACGATTACGTGCTATTTGAATGGGCAATGTATTAATAGCAGCAGCGAATAACTGTTTATCTGTTCTTTATCAATGTATAATAGGCAACTTAAGGAGGTACTTTGGTAAACCAGATATGCGTCGAATTACACTATTCAGTATGAATATTTGTTTTTTAAGTTATAAACAGTCACGATTGCTTAATTGCAACATGTATGCAGTTTTTGTAAGTTTGACAAACTTAATTAAAATGTCAGGACAGACGTATCTAAAATATATAAAAAAAATAGGATAACTGTCGGTAAAACGGTGTTTGCTAAACTTTATTATATTATCAAACATCTGGTTGAAAGAAATTAAGCTCCAAACTGACAAACTACGATTATCAACATAATTAACATATTAATAAAGGGTCTGTAATGTCTTTGTTGTTGTTTGTTTGGTTTTGGTATGTTTTTTGTTTGTTTGTTTTTTGTGTGTGTTATTTTTTCAGGAGGCATACATTTTTAGGTGAACATTATAAACAGTACAATACACTCGCTGCTTATCTCAAAGTATCATAACAGAAATATTTACTTTTGATTTAAATGAATAGGGGTTATTTTGAAATTGCCACTGTATGTTTATTTTAACAGATAACAATTTGAGTAAGATTTTAGTCAAACACTTTTAGCCCATTTACTATTTTAAATATCCCCTTCAGCGAAATATATGGTCAATTTTCTTTATCAAAATGTCCTTGTGTAGTAAGGTTGAAATGATTTGTTTTGATAAGTAGTACTGATAAATATTCTACACAAGGGTTTTGTAAACAGATCTCATTTGTTAAATTGTATGATTTATCTGAGCGGCATTTATCTAGTTAATGAAATTTATATGCTACAAAAAAGCTTGCTTCATCCACTCCACTTAAGTATAGCGATTGATTTTTTTTCATTTATTCATAAATAAATTTATAATCAGTTAAAGTATATGTTTTTGTTTGAGTCTTATACATTATCGACTGCAATATTCATTTATTAGTACTCAAGGAATAACACATGAACAGATAACGTTTTTTTTTTTGTACCAACGAATCAACGAACCTACGAAGCATGTAACGAACACACTACTCAACCAGCTATCTATGTATTAAGAAACACATAAACAAATATAAAAAATGTAAATCAGCTAATTTGGCTAAGTTTTGAAGGACAAAAGTATTCTTAATGCCATTATTTTGTGAAATAATTTAAGTGTAAATTCATATACATTTCGGATAATAAACTGATCTTCTTAAGTAAATTTTGAAACAAGAGAAACAATATTTTTAAAAGGTGAGACGTATTGCAAGAAAAAAAGGGTTTTGCAAAATAAAACTCGTAGAATTCAACGCATTCAAAGTTTTTTAACCTTTTAGATAATTTAACTTTAATTGTAATCTACATCAAGAGTTGTTAAATGAAAAACAAAAAACATCTACATTATATTAAAGTGTTTGAATGCATGGATCTACTTTATGTGTATTGGTTTCTCTTTTCAGACTACAAAAAGGAAGTGAAATTATTTTATTATATTTATTATATTGTGACTGCTTTAACATCAAACATGAAAATAAGAAGTAACACATATAAATAATTGCATGATTTTTTCGAATCGAACTCTCAATTCAGAAAATATTTTTCTTGTATTTTTATCAAGTCAATAATATATAATAACAAAAAAAGGAACAAAAAAAACATATCTGAGAAAAAAATAATTAACCAATAATCTAAGCTTTGATTTTCCTGTTATTAATATTGATGTACAGCCCCACATTTTAATTGTTGATTATGCTTAAATAGTTTAAACTGAACTCAAACAAGACTATTTGCATCATCAAGTTAAAAGTAAGTATCCAATTATTATAGTATATTTCTCTTTTTTTTCTATCAGCTGTAAAAAGCCTTAATATAGCATACTGTTTATCATTGTTTTAAAATTATACGAAAATGAAAAATAATGCCAAAAAAATTTAAATGATCAATAAATACTCACCTAAAAGCCGTATCAATTTTTAAGAGAACTACAATGGCAAATATAAACACAGTACCCATGATTTTGTGTATTCGCTTGTCCCCGGTGTACCTTCTTTAATATGCCTTCTTATCAGGAGCATGTTTGTATTTTATAGAGATATGTATAATATACGAACTTGCATAAAACATTTGATGATACTCAATCTGACTAAAGAAGTAGGAGGATATTTTTATAAAAACAAAATAATTCATTTCATTACAGCCATAGAAACATACTATACCATTAAACAAAGCCAGTATAATTTAGTCCTGCTTTTAAATACATGATTATCTCCTCACTTGTGATCCGGCGAAGGCATTAACGTAGCGCCTTTATACATTGGCGTATGCTTGTTACAACTGTTACTACGGTGACATCTGAATACAATTTAGTTCTTTGTATTTCCTTTAGGGACTCTACGATTACAGAATTTTCAATTGAAACCTCAATCTAAATTTGAAAAGTACAGCTGTATACCTCACCAATATATGTTTCTTTTTTGATTATGTAAGTTTCGGCGTTACAACAAATAGTATACTGACTGCAAGAGTAAATGTTATTACATATAAAAAAAACGTTACAATTTGACTGCTGGAATGTTCACCGTAAAGTACTTTCTACTAATTTTGACTTGTTGTTTAAGTAATACAATATATTTTCAGTAAATATATTAACCATTAATGTTATAGTCAAGTGTGGTACAATTTGAGATATGGTATTTCTCACATGCATCACTTTGGATATATTAGTATTTCACGGATTTTTTTTGCCGACTGTTAGCAATAAATGGAAATCACCCTTCGGCACTGCGATCTGTGAAATGATGGTGGGCTAATTAGTGGGCCATACAATACCATTAATATATATAAAAACCGGTAGATGGTCTTATGGACTCATTGTTACCCCTATTTTGACCTCATTTATCTTTATATTCAGATGGGTAAAAAAACAATGAAAAAAATAGAAGAAGATTATCCTGAAAAAGTTAAAAAATTCTATCGAATTTGTTTGTTAGCCACATTAAAAAATTTCGACTTTCTTCGGTAGATGGTGTCAATCTTGAAATCTAAAGAGTAATACATTTAAAAAAAGTTTATTTAGATTACTGATATTTTTTTTGTCAGAAGAATTGTTGGCTTTGTGCTAATATGTTTATTTAGTCAGGGGCAATAGGCAGTTCTAGCGTTTTCTGTTACCTTTTGGGGGTATTTTCAAATGGCCTACACGTTATTATTATTATCCATTTATTATAGGTGTTACTTTGAATGTCCACGTTATGTTAAGTCATTTGTCAAAGAAAACATTCTAGCATGCTTTTATCCGTAGAAGTTCAATGTGTCGTATTTAATGAAAGTTCACATTGGTGTTTACATGAATGATGACTGGTGGTGTATGATTATCAAGCTTATTGCTTTTATAAATTGTATAATTACGACGATAAATGTTACAAATAAAATTGTGTATAAGGACAATGTATGAGTTATCATAAAAATGAAAACATTTTGCATTATAATATAAAAACCCTAGAGACTCGAATACAACATCGGGTTGAAAGACGAGTTATTTCAAATATATTAATCGTCTAGTACAAACTTATGAAATATATAACTGATTTTTATAAGAAGCATCCCCAATTTGAAATTCAGATAAGATAAGTTGGGATCTCCATATCCGCTACAATGTCAATTTCTAAATATAATAATTACATATTAATTAAAAACAAAAGATGCAAATAATAATCTTTTATGAATGTTCACAGTTTTTATAGAAAAAATATTAAGAGATTTCAAATTGGTAACAGAAAAGAATAATGATACATGAATTTATTAATTCATAACTAAAAAATATTTCTTAAAGAAGATTTCTGAAACAATAATGACCTGTCTGGAAACGAAATGTTAAACGACAAACAAAAAGCATCAACATGATAGCACACATATCTAATTTTCTTCCACCGTTTTTTAAGTCAGACAGCTACGAACATTAACTAAACAATAGAAAAGTTAATGTTTTATATATTCGAAAGTTTTGTCTATCTACACCCATAACAGTTTGCAAATGAGAATGAAACGAATCCAATCTTGTTTTGCATTTTACTTTCTATAGTAGTAATAATCATCGGTGGGTGCGGCTACAAATATTTCATCGAGTGTACTTCTTATCTCTTTGAAAGTTGGTCGTTTCTCGGTACTTTCTTCCCAAGTTTGTTTCATTACACCATACCATCTAGTCAATATAATCACAAATATAAAAAAAATCAAGTTCACATCAAGAAGTAGCATGTATATATCTTAAAGTAATCTATTATTCGGGAAAAGGTACATAATAGAATATTAATTAATTTACTGGAAAGTAATGCAATCATAACTGATTTACATTTGTACTCTGAAATAGCGTTAATCAGAACAAGAATATATGAAAGTAGTTTTAACTTACTTGTCATCGCACTGCTCAGGTTTTGGAAGGCGGTAGCCTTCTTTAAGTTTAGCTGGCAGTTCATGACCTCTTATATTGCCGTATGGACTCTCGCCTAAAACATGTATCTAAATTTCAACTTTACAATGGATACTGCATTTACACTGACTGCTTTTATAATGTTGTGTTTCCTATTTATTCTTTAAAGTCACTACCGACAACTCAGTATATCGCAAGCACATTTGCATATGACGTTTTAAACTGACAAAACATTTATTAAAAATCAACTGTAGGTAACATGTTCTATGATTTTAAGATAAGTAGTATATTAACAATTCAATTTGCATACCCCACGCAATGAATGACTGATTTTGCAGCATTCATTACCATATTGCCACTGCGTGACTGACGCAAGAAGGAATTTTCTTTTTGACATACCTTGACTTTAGGTGGCGATTTATGTGGATTAAAGATGTCGTGTTTGCAATGTGTAAACTACATTCTTTGTCCGCTTGAACATATTTTACTTTTTAAAATATTATTTCAACATGAAAAAACATGAATCTGGAAGCCTACCGTTTTAAGCAAAACATTTTTATAAACAATCAGTACCTAGCATTTGTTAAAATAATAGTCATTGATTGAATTTGTACGTTTCTTTTAATAAGATGTTTTTAATTCTTGATATGAAAACATATTACATATGTAGATAAATCAAACTGTTATGTATTGTTTATGCAAATACCATACCGAAAGAAAATATCTCCCAGAGGACGACTCCAAATGACCAAACATCACTTTTTTCAGTCGCATCTACCGTTGATTTAAGACATTCTGGGGCCATCCATTTCAATGGCATCCTCTCCTTTCATTTGAATACATAACAAATTATTAATGATAAGGATAATAATAATGATAATAATATAGTAAAATGGGAATTTCTTTTATGATAAATTTGAAACTGAAAAAAATGAATCATATATCAAATGATCGATTGCAATCATTTGTAAAAAATGTTAAAATGTTACCCTCTTATTGCTATCTCCATCGTGCGTTTCTCCTGCTTTTGGCCCAAACCCAGTTATCTTCGGATTAAGATCAGCATCAAGCAAGACATTGCGAGCTGCAAGACGTCGATGTACAACCTGAAGTACATAAATGCACGTTTATCCGATCGTAAATTAGTGTATACAATGAATCATAAATCATCTATCTATTATATTATTCCTTTATAGACATCCATGTAACATTAACTGGCCTTTAGAGATAACACTTCTTACTAAGTAATGATATGCTGTCAATAAAACAAGGTACATTATTTGAACCTAAAGACAATGACGCGGCTCGAACATACAGCGGTGCGAGGCAAGTGGTCTGAAGTCTACAACGGTTACCCTAAACATTCAACAATTCGGCCACTGATTTATTGAATCCATTGTCTAGTTTTTTTATCTTTTGTTTGATATAGCACGTATCTTTTCGCTTTTCATGAATAAAAGACAATATCTTTAACATTAAACATTACATATATTTGGTCTTTACTGTGAAATACAGACCATACATATTCGATTACACTAGATTATACTAGAATACACTAAGTAATTCTATCGATTTGTGTGTCCGAACTCATACATTTCCCAACAGCAAGGTCAGTAGTTGCGATGAAATCAATCATTTAATATATTATTATAGCTTAAGACTTATATCAGGATAATAATGCTTGAAAATAGCCTATTGTTCGAACTAACAAAACGATATTCTCAAGCCATGATGTAACATTATAATTGTAGATTCAAAAATATAAATGATGTCAATGTTTTAATTCTTGATGGTGTGTCCTTAAGAATCAAGATACCTTTCTTTGTGCAAGAAAATCCATTCCACGAACGACTCCAAGTCCAAATCGTAGTTGGCGTTCAAGTGTTTCAACAGTAATATTATCTTTCATCGTTTCTAGATAGTCTTGCATTTGTCCGTTAGTGCAATATTCGCAGACGATAAATGGACCAACTTAAAGACAAAACACGTTCGAATTCGTTTGAATATTTTATGCATATAAATTATTTTATTCATGCTTAGTTTTTAATTTCCTCTTTAACGTTTGTTTGATAGTGAAAATGGGAAGTTAATGTATTTGTTTGAGACTACAATTCGTAATAAGGCTGAATACTTTATGCAATTCTTTTTATTTTATATATACCGAGAAAAGCCCAAAAGATTGGTCAAAAGATAGTTTGTTTTATTTCTTTAGTCTGATACAAAGTAATTTTGTTCTTTAAAGTAACTAGCCTTACAACACATAGAAAATCAAAGTTACCAGTCAATTGTTACAATTTAGTTTCATGATGCAAAAGAAACAAAAAATTCCGCATTTCATTCCACGAATATATGTGAATTAAACAGTCAAGTAATTATATTGACTTGTAGCTTACTGTTTGTTTCGGACACAACGGCTCCAATAAATTGCAGCACATTTTTGTTCTTGCCGACAATATCTGCGTTAAAAGTAATCTTTGCCGTCAACAGGGACTCATCGTGCTCTGAGAAGTTCTCTGAAAGTTATATGTTTACTCATCTTTACTTGCGTAAGTAAAATAAATTAACTTCACACACACCATGGATGGCAAACGCAAGCATATTAAATAACATGTAATATAATCCCTTATGGTATACATTAGGGATGTCATTCGGAGTCCGGATATCCGAACGTTCGGATCACGATTTGGTGTCCGGAGCCGATTTTCGGATCCGGATGTTTGTATAAAATATTTCAGAATATTGAGAAAATGTGAAAAATACATGAACATGCGTTGAGATATAATCAACGATAGACATGGTGTTGACACCATATTGCATATTGTACTTTAATTTGACAATACACATCGTAATCTCTGCAGAGCCCAAAAAAAAATCAATAATTACTATAAAAATTACGAGTCGTGTTTGACACATGTTGTTAATTCTACATGTACTAGTATGTTAAACACCAAACAAATTTAAGTTTTGTAGGATTCAAGATGAATATTCTAAAGTCCACCGTGCGATTGTCATCGGCAACGATTTTACATTGTTTATGTCCAAATTTAAATAATTAATTAGGCTATTATTTCTATAATATTTCAGCTTACCGAGCCGTCGACTCCTTATTTTGAGAAAATAAAAAATCTGCAGAAATAAAATTAGCAAATAAAGAAATGCACTTACGAATAGTTATATGTCAATTATCACAGCTTTTATTAAAATTGATACGATAATTATCCGTCCAAAATATCTTTCTCCTTTAGTATATAAATCAAACATGTGCCTTTTTTTATAAAACAATTTTTTCACAGTTTTTTCACTTACGAACACTTTAAAAATATGTGTAATTAATGTAAATTTCGGCAACTTCTTTTGATGATTCGAATCAAACAGCCAGGTCTACATGTTGGTAAACATCAGAGATTGGCAGATTCTTTTGAAAAAAGCCGGCTACACACCTGTCAAAGGTCATCGTGTGTAAATTGTATGCATGTTATTGAACAATGCATGGAAACTTTTAATTTTTTACGGGTGTTATTTTGTTTTCACAAATGTGAGCAAGAGTGTTATTGTGTATTATAGCACTAATTCAGGAATTTAGACAATCGGCGATATAAATTTAATTTTCATTTCATTTGAAATCGTAAGTATCATACGCACTTAAATTAATCGATAACAGTCATATTCAATATATAGAAAAAATAAAATCAATACCAAAATTATTTTGATACGTAACATTTCAATTAAAAAGGAAATGAAACGAAAATACTACATTTGAAAAAGGTCGCGAAAAAATGGTTACGTCATATCAGCCAACTAAGAATATAACAACGATCCGAACATCCGGATGTATCCGGATGTTTGATTCGGATATCCGGATGGCCGTTTCGGCTCCAGATGACATCCCTAGTATACATACGTTTGAGCGTCTTAGCCACAACTTTGTCATTCGTTGATCCGAGTGTTGCAAAGTAGATATCAGCAAAGCTTCCTGATTTCAGTAATGCCAATTCTGAATGTCTTGAATGTCTTCAATCTCTCCATTTACATATAAGGAATCTATGTTACCCTGTTACAGATTTAAACAATTTATATTTGTAAAACAAACTGTTTTGATGGTCCACATGTTTAAACACTTAACAAAAACAAAACGATGATTTTGATTTTACCTCTTTAGTAGGCGTTTTGGAAATTAAGATAACATGATATCGACAATGAAAAGAAACAAAATGGCTAAAGAAAATGCATGATAGGTTTAAACCAACACATGCTAATAATAATACTGTACTGCACTCACAGAACTATAATGGTTTGGTATTGCCTTGGATATGATGTCAGCGACAGACGTTTTATATTTTATCGACATTTCATCTAGACGTCGTCGTACAGGTTTCATGTGACCCCTCTTCAACAGAAGCCCAAATATCGCGATAAGCATTGCGACTATTAGCAACACACCTAGAGTTAATTAAAAATATATGTTCAAATAGTAGTTCAGTTCAAATCACAATATGTACCTCTTTGTATCTTAAAGGCAAATAAATTAAATCTTTAAAAATTAGTATCAGTCACATTATGCAGTCTTATAAATATTTACTCAAAAACTAAACCGTTACCTCCTATAGCATGTGTATCGAAACAAGTGATTTTTGATTCCTGAAATAAAAATTATAATATACGATAAACAAACGTACCGACAGTTACCCCCTCAACCATCCCTTCAGACAAGATTATTTCTTTTGGAGCTGGAATAAATTTATTTGATAAAAATATATCTATAAAATATTTTCAGAATATTTCAAGAAAGTCAAAAACTCTAGTATTATCTATTGAAATGCATAAATCTATATATCTGTCACCTGTAGTTTACAAAATTATTTTACGAAATTCGGTGAAGAATAATTCCAAAATGCCTGTTTTTGATTGTTTTCCGAAAGCCTACCTAAGAAAGCAGCATAATGTTTTTGTTTGTTTTATGGGGTTTATTGTGTTGTTAAACGTTTATTTTTTTACATACATGTGTTCAAAGCAGAGACATATCATGTTACAATTATTTCGATAAAGGAACGTACGATTAAGAAAACTGTTCTAAAATTATTCAACTTTTATGATCAATGTTATTATTTTTGTTGTATTTATTTTTCACCCTTTTAAATGCCATCTTTATTTAGCATAATTACATTGAAGTGTAAATTTCAAACATTATGAAAACCAAGAATATACTGATAATTGAGATTAATTAAAACATCCTTTTGGTCGTATGTTTGTGTGTCACCAGTTAGGATGGCTTAATAGTGTAACAGAAATGAAACAACAATATATATAATTTTCAGCACACAAACTACCATGTATAAAAAAGTAATAAAAAATCAATGTTTGAGGAACTAAATGACCAAATTATACAAAAATATATAAAAGACAGAGACAGAAATGAACAGCATGAAAAATGAAAAGTAAAATTTACCAGTCTTAAATGTGTAAGGAAGAGCAGTCAACTGTGTTCCTTTGTAACCAAAAGTCAAAGATATACTGTAGACTTGATCTGGTTGAAGTCCAAGTAAGTCAACTGAGGTGGCTTCATTGTGAACGACTACAACTCTTTCCGTATCATCCGAGGTATCAAGGGTGACGTTTGCATCAGCTTTTCTGTAGCAAGACGCTTCAGGCAAGTCCCATATTAGCTTTACACTTCCCCAGAATTTGTTCTCCACTCGAATATTAGTAGGGCCAGAATCTAAGTTTAGTTTTATTTTAATGAGATATTCAATATTCAAAAAGGCATCAAGTTAATGAAAATGGCACATCGATTAAAAATTATTTGTTCTTAATATTTTTATTACATACCAAAGTAATGTTATATTCATTTACACTCCGTTAAAGATCCTGTAACTATTTTTGTGGTTTTATATCATCAATATGATGCTCAAATTGAGATTTATTAATTTTGTAAGTTCCAATAACCATTATTTATAAAGATATTACCAAATTTAACATTTCATGAAAATAAAGTGAGGTAATAAAAGATTTTATTTTCTATAAAGTCAAATTTTTCAATAAGAAATATATGCATTTATTTTAATGATGTACAAATATTTGCAGTACATTTTTTACATATTCTTTGAAAATTTTATAAAAAAATTTATAAGCATAATTATATATAATTTAATTTGAGTGTGGTATACAATCTCAATTACAACGTACAGGATCTTTAAGGGTATGTTTTTTTTTTTCAAATTATTTATTGAAACCAAACAAAATGATTTAAACTCCGTCCTCTGGCATAGTAATTAAACTTTTGGAATACTTACAATCTTCAAGTCCTTTCAGATTAGTTAAGTGTTTTAACTGCAAAACAGTAACAGGGATTAAAGTTATCCTTTAATTTAGCTACGTTGGGTTACTGATCGGCATTTGCATTTATAAATATTATGAGCATTTCTATAGATTGATGTGAAAAATAAATTATAATTGATGTGAAAAATAATAGCTAAAACTGCAAAAAGACTGAAATACATTACAGTACATTCCTTTTGTCATTTTACATTGACAATTGTATCCTTATTTACCTGTTTTGTAAATGTCGTATACAGAAGGGCCTGGTTAAAAACTTTTACTTCTATGCGTGCAGATTTATGTAAATCTTCCGTCGGTACAAGAAACCAACAGTTATCTATATCTAGTATTTGAGAGTCTATGAAGCAAATTTTCAACACACAGTTGCATCCCTCAACTTGTTCACAAGCGTCAGAAGACTGTAATAAAATCATTTCGAAAGGATAATTATGTTATAATACTTCTTATTATATAGAATGAGGTTAGGTATATCAAACAACGGGTTGGAAGAGTGTGGCTTGTTAAAATATATGAAATATTTTATAATTCTTGTACATAATTACACAATAAGAAATCAAACCGTACAACTTATAA